GATGGGACGGGTTGGGACGGGACGGGACGGGAAGGGACGGGACGGGATGGGATGGGATGGAGAGTGCGGTGAAGATGGGGATGAGGAGTGATACCAAAATCAGACAGAATAAAGTTATTAACACCATGTTATGGCATTAGCAAGTGAAGCTTTAGGCAGCAGGACACGCAGAAGGATCCATCCATATTTTTGTGTGTGCTGAGACTTTACAACAGCATTTTTATCCATTATAAACACACATAGTCATTCAAAAGTTTTTCTGACCGAGTACATAAATACCATTTTCCTAGAACAAATTTCCATGCATTCACTTCCTACTGGGAGTTCTTTCATGGTCCTGGAGGTTCATTGAGAGTGATCTCTGGTGGTTGCATTCACTGAGTGCTGTGATATTAAAGGTGACCTTGCCTTGAATTTTGCCTTTGGCCATGCGCTGTTGCGTCTTGTCACAGAACTTGCCCCACAAACACCGGTGGCCCGCCTTATCCCTTTCTCCATTGGCTCCAGTCACGTTTATTACCCTGGCTCCACATTTTTATGTCCTTTTATCTTTTTGGCCATCTGCCTTTGAGGAACATCAAGGGGGTTGAAAATGTGTATTCTCTGGTTTTATATTAATCTGCTACTGACCAGCCCAACCCTCCCTCTTACACTCCACAATTTCCACCTCCCTCCTCCCCTGCACATCTCATTTCTCTCCACTAAATCCTTCCCGCTGCATGGAGCTCCTGGATCCTCCAAGCACTGACTCCCACCCACTCTGACCACAGCCAGGGGGTCACAACGCACCACCTGCCCAGCGCCCACCCATGAAGGTGAGCACCGTGTTTCCTCATTTTTCCACACTGACCAATGGACCTGTCCCATGTGAGATCAGTGTCAGTGCAGTGATCATACATATTGTGACACTGCTCATCTGCCTCTGTGGGCTGGCTGGGAATGGGGCTGTCCTCTGGCTCCTCCACATTAATGCCATCACCCGCTCCATCTTCAACCAGGCCATCACTGACTTAATCTTCCTCGTCTTCATGGTCCCTTCCACCCTGCTCTTCCTGCACGAGGAAGTGTCCTGCTCCACTATAATGTCTCAGATGTATTTGAGATTGCTTTTCCAGCTGTCCCAGTTCTCCTACAACATGGGGCTGTACCGGCTGACATTCATCAGCTTTTACAGGTGCAGATCCATCCTCTGCCTGGTTTTCTGTGGTTGCCAACTTCCCCTGCGCCTGTTGTGGGTGGTAAAGACTGCACTGTTCTGGGCCTTCTTCTTTGTTCCCATTGTTGTCATTCCCACGGTGACGTCCGTGTGCCAGTCGCAGGAACAGGAGCATAGCCAGGTGGCTCTCCTCTCCATGTATGTCCTCAACTTCTTCCTGTTTGCTGCACCCATGCTCATTTCCAGCATAATTGTCTTCGTTCATTTCAAACGTGGCTCCCAGCAGCGGGAACAGAAGAGGCTCGACATTCTCATCTTCCTCACTGCACTCTTCAGTCTGCCCCTCAGTCTCTTGTATTTACTGCAGCAGCTCGAGTACGTGTTTGTGTCCACCGAGGTGATTTTCCTACTCACCTGCATCAACAGCAGCATCAAACCCTTCATCTACTTCTTGGTGGGGAGCTGGAAGGAAGACTTCTCCTTGGGGAGCTGCTGGAGAGACTGCTCCATCGACAACTGCAGGAGTCACATCTCCATGCAGTCCCTAAGGGAGGCCCTCCAGAGGGTGTTTGAGGAGCCAGAAGAAAACACTGCCCCCAGTGATGAAAACAATGCTCCCAGTGATGAAAATAGTGCCTTCATTGGAGATGTTGGACACAGCGGTCTGAGCCTGTTGATCCCCTCCACTGCTCTGCTGAAGGACCCTGGGACAGTGGCTGAGGGATTCCTTGAGTCACCTGATCAATAAATACCCACAGGATCACCCTCCCTGTGCTGGTGCATCCCCCACCCCCTTTTCAGGCCACACTGGACTCTCCTACAGGCTTGTGAGGCCTCAGCCTTGAGGAGCAGCCCCTGGGCTCAGCTCCTCTGGCACTGATCAGAAATGCCCTCTGCTCCCAGGAACTGCTGCTCTCCAACGACCTGCTGAGGTTTGGTGAACAGCCTTGGAAATGATTTTACATCCCTGAATGGCACAACATCCCTGTTCTCACACTTCCACAGAAAGCTGCTGGCCCAAAGTGTGGCCAGGGTGAAACATTGTTGTGGCTGAAGCCCATCTCCTGGGGCCCTGTGAACAGCAGTCCAAAAGGAGACCCTTGGAGCTCTGCTGGGCCCCAGCAGCACTGGCCAGAACCTCCCTCGCACTGGGGCCTCTCCGAGCTGGGACCTCTCCCATTTGCTGCCCTCAGGGATGCCCAAACAACGACAGATCCTAAACCGATCCCTGCACTGCTCCAGGCTCAACCCTTGGCACAGCGAGGAGATGCAAAGGCATCCGGAGTGAGCATTTCACTGCCTCCAAGGGGAATTTCCCACAGGGACCTTGCACTGACTCTTTCTGTCTGGGTGCACACACGTGTGCATCTGCTACAGCAAATGTGGGAGAAATGCTGCTCTCTCAGGTGTTTTAGTACCTGAGACATCTGAGCAAGCCAGGCCTGTAAGGAAGTATATGGCATAAGGTAGGTCAAATACTGCTAAGTGTTATTCCTCTGTTGAACTGCTAAATTTAAGCTCTAACTGAAATACTGTTAAGGTTGAGTGCTTTAAAGCTTTTAGGCCATTTTCCTTTTTATCCTTACCCTCACTGTCCTTTTGTCACACACACCTGAACTCACACACAAACACTCAGGGATAATACTTTGGTGTGCTGTTGCTTAATATGAAACCTGATTTTTACTTATATCCTTGCAGGTGGTTTTGTGCCTTCAGAAATTCTTCCGTGCCTTCAGAAATTCTTCCCTGTGAGGGTGGAGAGGCCCTGGCACAGGTTCCCAGAGATGCTCTGGCTGCCCCATCCCTGGAAATGTTCCCAGCCAGGTTGGATGAGATTTGAAGCAACCTGGTCTAGTGGAAGGTGTCCCTGCTTGCAAAGGGGTAAGATCAGGCAAAAACACCCACAAGTATTCCCAAGACTGAGGAGGGGGAGTGTCCTGGTTTAGGGCAAATTTGGGAGAAAACCTCCAGTGGGGCTCCCCCCGGGAAGCAAACCCACGTGGCCCTTTTCTCCCACCCTCCAACCGGTTCGGGAAGAGATTTCTCTGAGAGAAGTGGAAAAAACCTGTTTATTTCCCAGGCACAGCACTACTCAGCACAAAATGAACGATATCAAATTACAAAACCTCTCACCATTCCGAAGAGATGACAAACTTCAGAGGGTCTCCTTCCTGTGGGTGTTCACTCTGTTATCAGTCCTTCTGGTGCTGGAAAATGCCGCTGCCCAGGCTGGGCTCTCGGTAGTCTATGGGTGCAAGCTCCCGGTGCTCCCCCGAGTCCCCAGTCCAGAGCAGGTTCGATTCGTTTCAGGAAAAGGGAAAGAAAACAGTCCAGGAAGACCTCTCTGCTCCAGCTAGCTGGAAAGCCAAGGCAATCTGTCTCTTGTTGTCTGTCTGTGCTGTAGTCAAAAGTCCTGATGCAGGGAGAGCAAGTACAGTCTGATAACAGACTCGGTGCTTCTTTTCCATTCACTTTTACTCTTAGATGAAATTTTAAGAATACAAAACCTGTGTCTAGGTTAGGTGGATGAATGGGGATACAATTTAAAATCAGGACAGGGAGGAGCTCTGGTGAAGGGCTAGAAAGGCAACTACAGCACCCCAAAATCTGCTCTCCAATTCCTTTCATTACATCATCAAGGGTATTGGCGGTAACTAATGTGGGCTCTAATGCTTGATAACCTGATTGCCAGCATGTCATGGTTTGATGCTGGCCAAACTCCAGGCACCTGTGAAAACCGTTCACTCACCTTCTATGGCTTGCAGAGTGATCTCAGCTGTGACATTTGGAGCACTTCTTCCCCCTCTTTTTTTCCATTGACCTTGGTGCTGCCATGTTGTTTTCCCTCACATTCTCACTTCCCTCTCTTCTCTCACTACAAGAAAAACTGCTGCCTGAAGGTACCATGATGGCCCCGGCCACGGCGCATCACCACACACCGCACCGGGATGGCCCCGGCAGCAGCGCCTCACCACCCCTGGTAAAAACTGTGTGGGCGCTGCTTTGACTTTCTTCTTCAATGTGTCATCACAAAAGAGTTACCAGCCTCTCTGATTGGGCCAGCAGCATGTCCATCTTCAGAGCCATCAGTGATTGGCTTCCAGCAGCTTCTCACAGGAGCCGCTGTCTGTGGCACTCCTTGGCTACCAAAAAACCCAGCTGTGCCAAATCAACACAAAGCAGCTGTTTGCTGTCCTTCCCTTGGGCTGTGTGAGCCTGCAGTAGAATGACAGAAATGGGAATTCTTGGCTTAGTTGTGCTTCCTCAGGCCCAGGGCAGGTTTTGGCAATGATCCCAGAACTCTTCCCTGAAAGGGAGTTGTTTCTGAGAAGCACCCAGATGCTTCACCAGCACTGCCAGCACCGCCAATAAAACATGGTTTAGCTGGAAAAACCTGGGTTAACCATTAAAGATAGACAATATATTCTGGTAATATTAAAAGAACAAAACATTTATACCATGATGTAATAAATTGGAAGCACTTTTGGGAGTATATATAAAAAAGTACCAAAACACCTATGCCAAGATGTAATAAATTGGGAGCATTTTTGGGAGTATCTATAAAAAATCTTGGATATTATTGTGTATAAAATAATACACAATATTATTATTAATAGTGCTGAATTAATTGTATTATTATTATTGTGCCTGAAAATTGTTGTTCCTTTGAACATGTCTATGGCAAATAAATTTCCAATTTGTTCAAAATTTTGACTCAAAATTGTTATTAGCCTAACACACTTTTGCTGTTGGACTTAAACTTCTTTGTTTCAGAGGGGACACAGCCATGGCTTCTGCTCCCTGGAGCAACCACGATCCCGAGTGCCCAGAGCTGGGCTGGCACTGGCATAGCTGGCACTGACAGGATGTTAGCGTTCAGGAACACACATAACCACAAATGGTTATATGAAGGTGTTTTATTTAAAGAGCTCTGGGTGTCAGGGGTACACATACCCAAATCTGACCCGACTTGGGTTTCGAGTTGAACATATTTTATACTCTATCATTATGCAACTTACATATTAATTATTAAACTTACATTGTTCTATTGTATACATTGTTTTTACCCAAGCATGAATTTCTTGTAATCCCCCCTTAGCCCCCTAACATGGTTCCCCATGTTCTCTAAACAATAATTATATCTAATCACATCTAACAATTGTATCATTTATCATATACTGACTACACAAGTGCAGCTTGACCTGGTCTTTAGCAAGCACAAGGCCTAACATTTCCAGGGCCTGCTTTTCCCAGGGCTTTCCAAACCTAACTTTCTTTCTAAGTCCCTGAATTTTCTAAGATTTTAAGGCCTTTTACTATCATTTCCCCCCTTTGAAAGCATTTTCACTTCACCATAAGTGCAAATGTTTTCACTTGATACAGTCCTTTGTTTCTGAGTTTATACTTGGTGTTCTTCAAATCCTCGATTGATGTAAACGTTGTCCTGGATGCTGTCACGAAATGGAGAACTAGAGGATGGTGGGTGTAGATCTCGCGTCAGTGCCTTTATTATCTTCTGGTTCCAGGACGTTTTCTTCTGTATTTCTCTTTTTAAGATGCTGTAAACTAACCAAATTGCTAAAAATACAATTAATAAAATTATCACATTCTCAATGATAGATTTAATCCATGAATTCACATTCCACCCTAACCCTTTGAAGATTTTACCTAACCAACTTGTAGTCAAATCCTTTTGCTCTTCCTGTGCTTCATGCTCTATTTGTTGCAACTGATTGATGTCATGTTCTACATCTGCAGTTACATTTGGGATGTGGATTGCAATCCCATTGCATTGGGATGCAATGATCAATCTGTCCCCCTTAAAAAAAGAACTTCACACCCTCCATGTTCTTTCAAAAGTAATAAGTTGTAATTGGACGTTTAATTCTTTAAATCTTTCCCAGGTGACTCTTGCTAGTCTATCTACCTGACCTGTTTCTCTGTTCTGACAGTTTGCTATTTGCTCTAGGGCCCACCCAAATTTCACTCTACTAGAGGGTTCTTGCTAAGTGTCATCTTGATTCTATTCCTATCCTAATCTTTCCTACCTATGCCTGTGTCTTGCCACTGAGTTGATTTTGCCATTGTTAGCATCCGTACTAAGATTAATTTTTGCTTTAGCAATTTTACCAATGCTTCTGCACCCCAATGATATTTGTTATGTTTCATTTGTAGAACTTCTCTCATTATCAAGGGGGTTAACACTATTTGTCTTTGTGCAGTTACATACCATTCTTCTGAATCCTTTTGTGCATTTAGCAAATGTCTCAATTTCTCATCTTCTATTGAATATTTTGGTTTTGGAGGCAAATTAAATTGAGAAACATTAGTCTTTAAAGGTATCAATGCCATTGTTGTTTGCACTTCTCGAGCAGTCTGTCGGGCTGTCCAGTCTGCTTTTCGATTTCTCTCTACTCAATTCTAATGTTCTGGTTAAGGCAACCAGTTCTGCCCTCTGGGCAGATGTACTTGGTAATAATGCTTTTGCCTCCACTATTGTACTGACTGTTGTTACCGCATATCCAGAGTATCTGGTCCCGTTCTCCACCAAGCTGCTTCCATCTGTGAATAGCTTCAATTCTGGTTGCTCTAGTGGGATGTCTTTTAGGTCTTCCCTTGCCGAATAGGTGTACTCTATTACTTCTACACAGTCATGCTCTAATGGGCCTTCTTCAAGTTGTGGTACCTAGGAAAAAAGCTGGATTCAAGAGGTTAATTGTCTTTAGTGTGAGTTCATCCTGCTCAGTTAGGATTACCTGGAATTTCATCATCCTGCTTGGAGATAGCCAATGGCCCCCCTTTTGTTCTAAAACAGTGGTCACCATGTGTGGTACATAGACATCTATATGTCTACCCATCGTGAGTTTCCTGGCTTCTTGGATCAGCATCACAGTGGCTGCAACTGCCCACAGGCATGAAGGCCATCCGGCACTCACGTTGTCAAGTTGTTTGGAGAAGTAGCCTACTGGCCTTTTCCAGCTTCCCAGACGCTGGGTTAGTATTCCCAGAGCTAGGTGTGATCTTTCATGCTCAAACAGCTTAAAGTCTTTGGATAAATCAGGCAATCCTAATGCTGGAGCAGTTGTCAATGCTTTCTTCAGCTTGAGGAAGGCCTCCTTCTGTGGTTTGCCCCAGGTAAACAGCTGTGTCTTCTGGGCTTCATACAGGGGTTTTGCAATTAGTCCATAGTCCGTGATCCACAGGCGGCACCACCCTGTCATCCCGAGGAAAACTCGCAGCTCATGTAGGTTCTGGGGCTCTGGAATAGCACAAATAGCTTGAATACGATTAGTACCCAGCTTACGTTGCCTTTGTGAGATTTCACACCCCAGGTAAATCACAGTCTGTTGGCTAATTTGTGCCTTTCCTTTAGACACCTTATATCCTCCCATTCCCAGCTGATTTAAAATTTAAATTGTTACCTTTATGCAGGTTGTTTTCTCTTCTGTAGTTGTCAGTGTATCATCAACATACTGTAACAACAGGTATTGTTTTCTGGTACTTGCCCATTCTCGGTCCAAATTTCCAGCTCCTTCGCCAGCTGGCTTCCAAATAGGGTTGGACTGTTCTTGTATCTTTGTGGGAGTCATGTTCAGGTGAGCTGAGTTTTCCTTCCATTTTCTGGATTTTCCCATTCAGAGGCAAACAGTTTCTTACTTTCTTTGTCAAGGGGTATGCAGAAAAAGGCATCTTTTAAATCAGTTACAGTAAACCATTTCTATTTCTCTTTTACGGATGTTAACAGTGTGCAAGGATTAGCTACCACTGGGTAAATATCTTCAGTTATTCTATTATTGCTCTTAAATCCTGTACTAGTCTGTATTGGTCAATACAAAATNCAACCCCGAAACCCCAAAGCACATCCCTGGAGTGCTGCGGGAATGGGATGGGATGGGATGGGATGGGATGGGATGGGATGGGATGGGATGGGATGGGGAGAGGGGTGGAGATGGGAACTGGGAGAGATGCTGAAATCAGCTGGAATAAACTTTCAAACACAATGGGAAGCATTAGGAATCAGGAATTCTTTACCTCTACTGGACACACAGAAGGATCTCTCCTTGTTCTGAGTGTCGCAAGACTTTACATCAGTGGTTTAATCCATTATAACCACACATAATCGTTAAAGGGTGTTTCTTATCTAACACATAAACATCACTTTCCTAGGACTCATTTCCATGACTTCACCTTCTTCTCAAAGTCCTTCCATGGTCCTGGAGGATCTTTAAGAGGGGTCTCTGGTTGTCCTGTTCCCTGAATGTTGTGATATTAAAGGTGACCTTGCCTTGAACTTTTCCTTTGGCCTTGCCCTGTTGCTTCTTGATAGAGAACTCGTCCCAAAACCACTGCAGGCCTCCTAATCTGCTTCTCCCCTGGCTCCAGCCACGTTTATCATCCTGTGTTCTCCTGCAGAGCACAGGGGAGCTGGCCTTTCCTCCTTCCTCCTGGGTCCTAGAACTGTATAGCCAGGAGGAGCAGACACTGCCAGGGGTCCTGGGTGAAGCTGGGCAGGATTGGGGCTGTTGGGGATGGGAAAGGGGGCCCTGGGGTGTTTGAGGCAGTTTGAAGGGGTCAGGAGAGAGTCAGAGGGGGTTGGAGGGGGTCTGGATGCCGGCAATCCCAAATGTCCCCACTGGAGGACAGCAGAACCTGACCGACCACGTTTGGAGTGGGGGAGAAGCTGCGGTCTGTGAAGCCTGTGGGATGTGATAGGAAGGGGTGAGGATGGAGAGGGGGTGGGGATGACGGTGGGGAGAATGGGATGGGGATACGATAGGGAGCAGCTCAGCTGTGCTTCCACGGACCCAGGGCAGGTTTTGGCAATGATCCTGGAGCCCTTCCCAGAGTGGGAGTTGCTTCTGAGAAGCACCCAGCTGCCTCACCAGCGCTGCCAGCACTGCCAGCATTCCAGTGCCACCAGCACCAGCAGCATCCCTCAGCTGCTGGAGGGACAATGACCCCTCATGAAATTGAAATGAGAAATGGCAGAAACCTGCCAGGAGAGGGAAGTCTGCCAGAGAACTGGACATTGTCCAGGGAAGGAGTGTTTCGAATCAGGAGGAAAAGAGGACCCATTCTATTCTTCAAGTGGAGCTTTGAAAAAAAAACTCACTTCCTTTGTAGCAAAAGAAAAAACAACCAAACAAACAAACAAAAAAACAGAACCAAACAAAACAAACCAAAAAAAACCAGAACCAGACCATTGGAAGTGAAACTCTAAATTAGCCAAAGATGTAATTTTCAACTGCCCCATGGCCCCACCAAGTCTTTGGGAAATAACAGTGGGACAGGGCACAGAGAGAGCCAGCAGGACAGGAATGGGGAGCTCCTGGTGATTCGGGCACTTTCTCCTTCACGCTACTGACCTGGGAGGAGAAGCTTTAGGATATGGATCCCAAAGGAGCACGAAGTACCAGGAAGCACCTGGATAGACCCCCTTTGCCTGCTGCTGCCCCACAGTGAACAGGTCAGTGGAATGTTTTCCTTTCTCCCAATGCCACCTTCCTCTCCTCCAGCAGCTGCTCTGTTCCTGCCACCCTCTCCTGGTGACCGCAGGGCCCTCCCCAGGTGCTCCCCTCTCTGCCCTGCACTTCCCCTCTGCATCCCCTGCTGAACATCCCAACCCTCCCACCTCCCTTTCCCACCCCACCATTTCCACCACCCTCCTCTCCTGCACATCTGATTTCTCTCCACTGAATCCTTCCCATTGCAGGGTCCTGCTGAGGCGTGTGGTCCATCCCTGGAACCTCCAACCACTGACCCCCATCCGCTCTGACCACAGCCAGGGGCCACATCCCACTGCCTGCCCAGTGTTCATCCATGGACATGAGCACTGTGTCTTTATCTCCCACCTCACCCACAGGAGGAGATAATCTCTGTGAGATTGATGTCACCAACGTGGCCAGTTGTGACACCAACGTAGACAGTGTGACACTGCTCATCTGCTCATCTGTGGGCTGGCTGGGAATGGAGCTGTCATCAGCCTCCTTAACATTGGCTTCACCACTGACTTCATCTTCAATCTGGCTGTCACCATCTTCCTCTTTCTCCTCCTCATGCTCCCATCCACATTACTCCTTCTTGTAGAGGATGTGTCCTGCTCCGCTACTTCTTCAAGTGGAGCTTTGAAAAAATCACTTCCTTTGCATAAAACAAACAAACAAACAAAAACCAAACAAAAAAGTCCCACAACCAAACCAATGGAAGTGAAACTCTAATGTAGCCAACGATGCAATTTCCTACTCCCCCGTGACCCCACCAAGTCTACCCCTGCTACTGCGTCCCTGGGGTATTTGAGCTTCCTTTTCCAGCTGTGACTCTTGTGCTCCAGCGTGGGGCTGTACCATGTGGTGTTCATGAACATGATACAGTTATGTAGGCTCTTTAGCCTTGAATTTCTGCTGCTGCTGCTGCTGCTGCTTCTTTTCTGAGCACCTGCCATGCGTGGTGGTGAGTTCCCTGTTGTTCATCGCTCTCAATCCAACAGTGCCTTCCCTGTGCCAGTTTCATGAAGAGCACTGCCAGGTGCCTCGCATCTCCATGTGCAGCTTCCACCTCCTCCTCTTTGCTCCCTTATGCTCATTTACAGTGTATTCTTCTGCATTCAGGGCACTTGTTGTTCAGAGAAGGGCAAGCCCAAAAAGCTCCACATTGTTAACTTCATCTCTCTCCTCATCATTCTCCCCCTCAGCCTCTGGAATTTCCTGCAGCAGCTCAGCTACACCATTCTGCCCTCCCAGGCTGATTTCCTGCTTGCCCACATCAACAGCACCATCAACCCTTTCACCTACTTCTTGGTAGAGACATGCTGGAAGAACTGCTCCATGGGGTCGCTCAGGGAATCTCTCCAGAGGGTCTTTGGGGGGCCAGAAGAAAACACTGCCCACAGCAATGAAGCCACCAGGGACACAGCAGTCTGAGCCCGTTGATCCCTTCCACTGCACTGATGAGGCACCACGGGACAGAGGCTGAGGGATTCATTGAGTCACCTGATCAACAAACATCCACCAGATCGCCCTCCCCACTTTATTCCTGCAGGAGAAGGGAGCAGGGGCACTGCCAAGGGCCATGTGGGAGGGATGTTCTGTGGAGAGCACATTGGGGCATGGCTTTCCCTCCTCCCTCACACCTCCTAGAGCACTATTTCCCCAAACGGATTGTGCCCCACATGGCTGTGGTACCAAAATCCCCCTGGCACCTGGTTCCTGCATCCCACTGTGGTCTGGTATCAATAAACAGCTTCGTTAATGCTGAGCTGCCTTGGCCCCCTCTGCCTGCACTTCCCAGCTTTTTCTGGCTCCTGCTGCCAGCCAGGAATGTGGCTGGAGGGAGGGGACACGGCCATGGCTTGTGCTCCCTGGAGCAACCACGATCCTGAGTGCCCAGAGCTGGGCTGGCACCGGCACAGTCAGCATGGACAGGATGGCCCAGGGGCTCAGCATTCCCCCATGACTGCCCCAAGAGTGTCACAGCAGAGATGTCCCTGGTCCCGGGTGGCACGGGGCAGGAGCAGGACTGGCAGGAGGAAGGCAGCCCTGGGGGGGGTCTGGGTGTGTCGGAGGGGTCAGGAGGGATCTGGAAGGGTCTGGATGCTGCTGATCCCAAATGTCACACCTGGAGAGCAGCTGAGCCCAACAGGCAACGCTTCAAGCCGGGGAGCAGCCACGGGATGGGATGGGATGGGATGGGATGGGATGGGATGGGATGGGATGCGATGCGATGCGATGCGATGCGATGCGATGCGATGCGATGCGATGCGATGCGATGCGATGCGATGGAGAGCATGCTGGGGATGGGGACTGGGGAGTGATACCAAAATCAGGCAAAATAAACTTTCTCACACAATAGGAGGCACGAGGAAGCAGGACACACAGAAGGATCTCTCCTTGTTCTGTGTGTGGTAATACAACAGTAAACAGAGCTGTAATATAATGCTCTACAACTTTGCAACAGAGGGTTATCCATTATAACCACACATAATGATTCAAAAGTTTTTCCTAATACATAAATATCATTTTCCTAAAATTAATTTCCATGTGTCCTCCTCCTACTGGAAGTCCTTTCATGATCCTGGGGGATCTTTAAGAGGGGTCTCTGATTGTCCTATTCACTGAACGTTGTGATATTAAAGGTAACCTTGCCTTGAACTTTGCCTTTGGCCATGCGCTGTTGCTTCTTGTCCCAAAACCACTGCAGGCCTCCTAATCTGCTTCTCCCCTGGCTGCAGCCACATTTATCATCCTGTGTGTCTGCCTTTACATCCTTTTATCTTTTTGGCCACTTGGTCTTTGAACAACTTCAGGAGAGTTGAAATTGTTCATTCGTTATGTTCTTTATCAATGCCCTGCCAAAGAGCCCAACC